AGTCTCAGAGAACTGAGGGCTGTGTGATATGGCATTAAAGGATTAATGGCTACTGAGCAATAATTACCATAAATTATGCAGGCTAAGCCCAGATCTAGGAACAGTTTTACCTCTTTAATTCCAAGCCAGTCGTGGCTCATGCTGACAGCACACCTGGAAATGAGGTAACTGAGTAATCTGCCCACATTGTTCAGATCTGCTGGGGCTTGGGCACAGACTTAGTGTGTGTTTTCCCTGCTCCTGGGCAACCTTTGTTCTCCTGCAGCCAGGAAGTCTCCCTGATGGGATAAGACAGGGAGCTTCTGTTCCTTTCTTGAGCAGGACGCTGTTAATTCACCTGCGGTGCCACTTGCCTGTGAAATTCCCTTCCCAGATGCAAAGATCTCACTGTTATTGCAGTATGAGATGGAAACACTTCCAGTGCTGCCTGAACATGTTATTTAGGTCAGTTGCAGGGAAGATGGCAACGTGAATCAGAGCAGTTGGAAGAGAAAGAAAGTCATTAGAGAGCACCTTGATATCCCCTGCCAATGTGGGGATTTTCTGTGCTGACGCAGAAGCCAGGCTGGAACAGGAGCACACATTTCATTGTCTTGTGCTCTTGGTGTGGTGCTGTGGCTGGGGAGCTGGACTGGCAATGAACAGACCTTGCCTTTGCCACTCTCTATCAGCACCTAGATCTTGGTGGGTGCATGAACTAATCTCTGAGAGAGAGAGAACAAAGTCTCCTCCTTATCGCTGTGGAAAACGAGATATATCAGGATCATTGTCCTGAGTGCATCCATCGTGGGTGAATGAGCCTCCAGAAGGTGGTTTTACAGAGGTATGATCATCATCTTGTAATCATTGACAGCTCAGAGGATGTTCCCATCCCAGTAATGGGCATGTGGTGCCCAGTGCACTACAGCAGCTCCCAGGGAATTCAGCAGAATTCATTCACCAAGGCCTGAGTGTGCTGGGCCAGCCTAGGGATGGTGGGAAACCCCTGAAAATATCCCACTGGGCAGGGCTCTGCCAGGCACTGCGTTTCCCTTCCCAGAGGAAATAGCCTGAATTTACCCAGTGCTCCGTAGAGACCTGTAGGCTAAAACAAATTATTTTTACACAGTAGGAAACATTGAGACCAACCTTAACTGATGAAGTAATTTGCCAGCTTTTAGCCTCAAGGTCCCTAGTCCCTCAGGGCTTTCCAGCGTAGGTTTCCCAGAAAGATTCTCTTGGATATGTGCTTTTGGCTCATTACTAGCTGTTTTATTTTTCCAAGAGCCAGCTCTCGTTAGCTTCGTTCTCACAGCATTGTTTTCTTTCTAGAAGAAGCTTTTGCTGGCTCTCCTAAACTATTGCATGGGAATTGCTTACTAGCTTACATTTTTTTTTGTTTGTTTTGACCCAAAGCTGTGCTTTGCTCCCCTCTGTAACACTGCCAGCATAATTTCCAGTCTCTTTTAAGCATATGTTTTGCAATAATATCTAAAGTCTTGGCTCCAAGTAAGTGCTTTACAGAGAGATTAGTATCTTCTAACGAAGGAATTGAGAAGCAAATAGTGAGAACAAAAGCAATATCTTGAGAGCCTGTAAGACTACCCTGACCTTTCCCAAAGGCCTCAGCCTGGCCCTCAGTGTTGAGCAGATGGCAGAAATCAGGGTGGACTTTGATTTGTGGAGGCCTCTGCCTCGCTGCTGTGTTTGCGGGAAATGTGCTCAGCACATTGTGGCCATCTGGGCTTGACTGTACTATTCTGATAATCCCCAGGGAGCCTTCTCCAGCAAAGCTCATCCTTGATGGAAGTCCTCTCTGGCTGACCTTGTGGAAGGCTAGTATTAGCAGTGTGGGGTTTTGACATTTGACAGCAGCATTCCTCATAGGAAGAAAATGGGAGATGCTTTGTCCTGCCCAGGAAGGTGGCACTCACCAGGTATCCGTGTGGGCACACAGCTGGAATTACACTAGAAAGTGAGGAGATTAGTGTTAGCATTTTCTAAACTTCAGGAGGAAGTGTTACAGGAATGCAAAGGCCATCAGAAAACCAACTGGAAAATTGCCTTGCATTAGATGGGAGAACCAGATGGGGGGGTTGAACCAGGAGCTGAGAGTCTCAAAATTGCTCAGAAGGGAGCTCAGTGACTGGCCATTCACAGGGAGACAGGAGTCAGATGAGGGGGTCCTGACAGGAGCTGGAATCTTCATCTGGATCTAAGTGAAGGTCCGCTTTTCAGAAGAACTGAGCTGGCTTTGTCTGAAATCAAAAGAATGATTGGGTGCTCAGCATCCCTGGAACTGAGAGGTCAAAATATAGACTGCCAAATTCAAGAAATGAGGAAAGAACAAAACCAAACCCTCTCCCAGGCTGTGTCCTGAGGCTGTAACTGCTGTGCCTCAGACATTTGGCATTTCAGGTGTGGGGTGTGTGTGGCAGCTTGAGTGGCCAGTCCCAAAGGCTGTGCTGTGGGATGCCTGCCCTGCCCTTTGCACTGTACATCTGGCACTGTGTCCCTGATTTTGCTCCTAAATCACACATTTCTGCTCATGACCCACCCACCATGGGCTGTTGGACCTGTGGCACCCATTCTGCTCCCTCCTGCCTGTCCCTGGCCACCCATAGTGACAATCCTCAACCCTTTTCCTGACCTTCTGACTCTTCAGCTGTGGAGCATGTAGAGCTTGCTCCAGGCTGCTCGTGGCTCCAACTCCCAGGAGAGTTTGTGATGGTGCCACAGAGGCTCCTCTGCACGTCTGTCCCGTGGCAGTTTGTCCCTGTGTTGTAAAGGGACTCTCCTGCCTCTGGCTCTGCTGGCCAGCCCTCGTCAGCCACACTCTTGAGAAATCTTAGTGGAGATGTCGACCTGGCAGATGGAAGCTGTTACCTCATTCCACAAAAATGCTTTGTTATTGAGAAAATGGAAACTGTCTGAGGTTTGGGAGCTGAATAGAGTCATTGGTGTCTGTTTTAACCGCAGTTTAGTGGTGACTGCTCAAAAGTTCCCCTCTCTGAGCATTCCCTTTTCCTAACCCATAATCTTCAAGCCATTGGAGGGCTGTGATGACTTAACTCATTAGCTGAGCAAAAAAATGTTGAATGCTGCTGCATGCTCTGCAGAAACTTCACTAAAACCTCAACATCTTCCAGCAAAACAAAAATGATGAGCCAAGAAATAACCCTTTGCAAGCTGTTGGCCAGAGAAGTGATCCCTATGGATTCTAAGCCAAATTTAACCCTTTTTATATAGTTTCAGCTGGGTGTCTTGTTTACTTGACTTTGAAAAGCTGTATGAAGATTATTCAGGAACTTCTTGGAGAGAAAAAACATCCTTGGAGACTTAGGTTTGTAATTGTTAAACACAGTATCTGAACCCCAGTCTTGAAGAGAAATTTCTTTTCATCAATTTTTAAAAGCAGATTTCAGCATTGTAGATTTGAGAGAGGAAAAACTAAAAATAAGGACTGAAGTGTTGGCAAGCTAGTTTTTGTATTGCTGTGAATAATGACTTGGCTTAGTCCAAAGAGCATTAACCTAAACACAGGCCTTGTTTTACTTAACAGATATTTGTGAAACTGGCATCTGATATGGAAGGTTCTCTTTTTGAGAACCTTCCATAAGCATTAATCACCAGCACCCTGAAAGAACCTAGAGCAACAGCTTTTTGGAAATAAAATGAACTCTTTATTTATGTATTTTTTAAACTAATTAATCTTGGCAGGCCAAATGAATGTCTTCCAGCTGCTACAGATGGTTTTCACATGACTAAATATTTTGGTGTGTAGAAAAATCTAAAATAGTGGAACCACAAGATATTAAGTATTTAATTATTACCCTGGAATGTAAATATGACCTTGATATTTTAAATTTGTTTGCCCAAATTTCAAGTGTTCTCTTAGAAATCCATCAAACAATGCAGTTCTGACCTTGTTATCTGTGAATCAGAGTGACTACTCAGCATCTTCTCCAAATTTATTTGAATATCAGAATGGGTTTTAGAAACAGGAATTTGCTTAACTTGTAAAATAATCCCAGCTGCTTGAGGCAGAACCCAGAATCAAGGTTTGAAATGTTATGGACTAGTTCTGTTCTAGATCCCTACTTTCAGGTTTAGCCACAAAAATCCTTTCTAGGCTCAGCTCTGCCTCTTAAAGTCTTAAGGAAGTTTTTTAATATAAAATACAAATTGTAAAAACAATTAGCAGTTGGTTTTTTAGCCTGTATCTTGCCCATTTAGAATGTATGTGTTGTTCCTGTAGCTGTAAAGCAACCTTATTTCTGGAATGATCCAAGCCCACAAGATTTCCTTCATTTCTGTTGTGGTTCAGGGCATTTCTGCGTGGCTGCAATTCATACACAACCTGCATGTGCACTCAGGCTTCTTGTGAAAAATGTCTTCTTGTAGTTCTCCTAATGAAACAAAAGAAAGGGAATAATGTAAAATGTGTATCTGAAAGCCTAACCTTCAGCATGGTTGAAGACAAAAATTCCTCTCTGAGGTCCACACCTGATGTCACTGTTTCTGGATATTGCTCAGGGTGGGAAGACAACAAAAAAATAATAACATGGGTCCTAATGTGTCCCTGAGTGCAAGGACTGCATTTGGCAGCATCATGAGCCCCAGTACCACCCTAAACTCCTGATTTCTGACCTCACCTTGGAATTCCTCTACCCTCATTTAAGGAAAACGTGGATTTTTCCTTTCCTAAGAACGAACCCATTTGGAACTGGTGCATAACTTCCTGGTGCTGCCCTGTCCCAGCTCTGCCTGCCAGCTCCTGCTCACTGTTAAATCCCAAGTTTAAATAGCAGGAGCAGCCAGCAGAGGCACGGTGTTGGTTGGGGAATGACTCTGGATTAGCTGTGCTCTGTAATGGCACAGCACTGTGTTACAGGGTTGGAAAGCACCTCAAAGACCATGTTTAAGGTCTTTAAGGTGCTTTCCTCTCTTCCTTCTCCTCCTCCCTTTTCTCCTGCTCCTCACAGGGTTGTGCAATCTGTAGGTGCAGGTCTGTACCCCACGTTGGTGGCTGTCACAGTTTCCACTGACAGGGGTATGTGCTGCATCTCCAGAGGAGAAGAAAGATGGAACTTGGATCTTGGTTCCATTTTTAGGTCTACAGGCCATGCCTAGTGCCAGAACTCTCTGAGGTGCAAATCCCAGGAGGGAGATAGCATTACTCCCTGACCTGTGGGTATTACAAGGGTAAATAATGTTTTTGCTGCTGACAGCTGTTAGGGAATTGAGGAAGCCACAGTCCAGTGAGAGGTGTGGGATGGCAGCTCTGGAAATTGAGGACTTTTTGCATTAATGAACTTACACTGGATCACCACATAGTTTGTGTCACTGAATTAGAGAATCAGGGAGCTAAACTGCTAACCAGGTAAATCTTTAGTTTTTGTCCTTAAATTTGGATTACTTATTCTCATCTTCCTCTTTCCTTGGCACATTTTCAAAAAGAAAAGGCAGCATCTAAATCCAAAGGCATTTCAGTGGCTCCCTTTAACTCAGAAATTGCTGAGTGCCTAACTCAGAACATTCTGGAATACACAGACTAGTAGCAGAACTCACCAAGAGTCATTAAAAGCAAAAAGTGCACAGCGTGTTTTGCATCTATCTCGGCCAAGAAAAGTTTTATTTCTGCTATTTCACAACGCTATGCAAACACCATATAACTCACAGAAAGATTAAATCTGGCCCAATGTGCATGTGCAGAAGTGTTGGATGTGTTGCTTTTGGAGAGCCCAGAGCTGAGTGTGGGAAATCAAAACTGCATGTCAGGTTGGTGAAGGTGCACAGATTGTGTTGTGCTTCATGCCATGTGAAACAGCAATAACTCCAGGATGATGAAATAATGCTGTCAGGTCCTTGATAGCTTGCAGTTTTAATTTTAGAAGATGTAGAGCAGAACTTTGAATAAAAATGGAAGAGGGCAATGCAGAGACCTTGAATAATGAGTAGATCAGGATGTTTGAGCCACAGTGACCCTTTCAAGTGACAATCCAGTTCTGCTGCTCACCTTGTTAGCACCTGACTTGGTAAATCAGGCTGATAATGATGTTAATGAGTTTTTCACTTTATGTTAGGAGTTTTGCTTCTTCTCTTTTGGTTTTTTTTTTTTTTGTCATCATGACGATGAGCAATAGAAAGTCTTTGGAAGTGAAGCACATCTACACAAAACTGGAATCATGTCTCTTGTGAAAATTTAGAGTAACTTATTGCAAGTGTCCAATTTCTAGTCACAAGTAATGACATTTAAACCCCTGTAGGAAACACAATCCGTGTGCTGATGTCACCCTTGGTTTATGATATGAGTGCTTTTGTTGCTGGACAGGCACTTGAGTGTCTGCTAGTGAAGTGATGATTTACTCCTGAGAGTGTGTGCCTGGTGGCACCTGCTGTACCTGGCTGAGGTGAGGTAGAGGAGCACCCTGGCACAGCTGGGTTCCTGCAGCTCCATCGCTGTCAGCAATGCAAGGTAACACAATTGGGCTGAGCTTTTATTTCCAGGGGTTGCCAGTTTGGGACAAACAGCTTGTAAATGGAGCACTTTTGTTCTGAGCAGCTCCAGAACAGAGGGAGGGTGCTGGCTTTGCAGTGAAGCCCCTGATCCTCAGGTTGCTTGAGCATGTGAACAGTTTTGAGAGCTTTTTCCCAACAGAGTGCGCATCAGCATCAAGGAGTGTGGAGCACCTTCCCTGCAGCAAAGAAATGGGCATTGCTTCCCATCTGCTGCTTTGAGGGCTGAGACAGCAGCTCTTCTCGGTCTCAGCTGAAAGTTGTCAAAAGAGGAGCCTCTCTTAGTGAAAATTCTGCTCTTTCTGATCCTTTTTAACCTGTGGGAGATGTGCTTCATGTAGGATTCCTTGTAATCTCAGATGGGAATCAGAGAATGAGGTTCTGTAAAGGAGCCACGGACCTGGATCAGGGACTCTTGATGTTACTTTTCTGTTCCTGTGGGATTTTTTCTCTGTAAAGGAGCAGCTTTTCCTCTCTTTCTGAGTTTTTAGGCACAGTCAGTGCACATGGTTACTGAGCTGCCTGCCAGCAGCTCCAGTTCTGACATGGACATGTCCAGTGGGCAGGGGCATGGCCTTGGAAACTCCGTGTGTAGCTGCATATTATAAAGGCATTCCTACATTTTGTGGGCATTTGTGTCCCTTAAAATAGTCTTTTCCACATAAACTTTTGGATGTGACACAGTTTTCCCTTTCATGGGTGCCACCAAGGACTATTTCTGCCCAGAAACAGTAGCGCGCATGTTGCATCTTGCAAATTTCCTTTTAGTGCTTGCAAGGAGTTACTTTGTAGAGATGTTATGCAAAATACGTGACACTTGCAACTGTTAGCTTCTATTATTTAAATTTTTGCAGTACTTAAGAGTAATTTTGAAGGTGTCAGTGAGAATGGTTGGAAGATAACAAGCTCTATATAATGGAAGTAAATGACACGTGCTGGCCAGATCACCTGGCAGAGAAGGCTTCAGTCACAGAAGGGAACTTGTTTCACTTTTACCCTGGCAGGGCAGTGGCTGGAAGGTGTTCTCATCCTCTCTCAGCCATCCCATCTGTCCCCTTTGTGTCCCCTTTGTGTCCCCTTTGTGTCCCCTTCGCTGGGCTGTGCTGCCCTTGAGCGCTGCCCTGTTTCGGAGGGCTGCAGCTGGCACACGCAACATCTCCCTGGCAACAAATGATCCTCGGTTTTGTTTCGGACAACCATCAAGCCAAGCCGTTCCCGGGGTGGTAACATGAGACAATTTGTCTTTTGCCAGCACTCAGATTTAGAAGCTGCTCGCATGCTTGGTGCTGCAGGGCTGGCATTGCCTTGGCTTGCAAGGGACACCAGCAGCTGTAAAAAGCGCTTTATAGGGAGAGTGTCCCTGTTCCTTGGGCCAGGAGCCAGCACAGGTGGGGAGGCCCTCGGGGATCTGGGGCAGAGAGAGTGCACAAATGTCACTGCTGTGTTTCCTGTCACCTTTCTCTTCCCTCTGCTGATTTTAGAGACCCCCAAAAAGCACAAAACTGCCATGGCTCAGCTGCACGTCACCTCTCTCCATCAGTCTGCGTATATGCAAGAAACGAACTGCAAATGATTCTTTGGGAAGCAAATAATCAAATCGGAAGAGGGAGAATTTTGACCAAATTTGGTGAAAAAATTCACTTTGCCCTTTAAGTAATAGGCGTGCATTAAATAAAGCATGTCTGGGATATGTGTCTTTTCCTGCTACTGGAAGTCAAAGTTGCTTTGTTTATTGAAAAAGAAACATGAAGCTGAGCAGAGCCTTGATCAGCAAAAGAGCTTTCAGGCTTGCTGGGGAGACAGGGAATAGGGACTGGGTTCAAATTGTACAGGTTGGTTTTCAGGACATGAGCTAAAACACCATCATAGGGCTGTGTCCTATGCTTGGGGCAGTCCCTTGATTGCCTTTTTGGGTAAAACAGAGGTGTAACCTCATAAGGATCTTTTATTAAGGACTGCAAAAAGCTTTGTAAATACTGACTTGAATTATGTATCAACTCAGAAATGAGTAAGGCTTCATCCTCAATTTAAAAAGCAGCTGTCTCTAAGGAAGGGAAAAGTGCAAACTACAGTGTAAGGATTCAGTTGTGAGAGAACTTCGGGGAAATAGAGCGGAATTACATTACTCTGCAGTAATATCTACATTGAGATGCACAGGCCCCAAGAACTAGCAACTAGAGCAGTCAGATTATTTTTTGTGCATATAGGCTGTGATGTCTGTTTGAGTTGCAAGATTCTTGTGTGCTGAGCTGATCCAAGATGAAGGTACATTGGCCTCAGTGTGCAGTTAGTCATTTCCTGTCACGCTTGCATGTTTGAATTCTGTTGTACTGCATATGACCTTTATTTTGTGGGGCAAAGAGATCTTGAAAACAGGATTGCCAGGAATCCTCAGATTGTTAAGTTGGATAAGCAATGAGGAATTGATATGGCTGTGGGTTACAGGGGTATAAAGTAATTCAAAATTAAACTTTCAATGCTAGATTGTAGCATACTCACAACGTGCTTATTGAGAGGACTTGCACACCTGTCCCTTGCTCCTTTTTGAGAACTGACAGGAGCAGCCCTTTCCCTGGCCTGCAGCTCCTGCTCCTCCGATCACACCAAAGCTCCTGTGATCAGTCACATTCCCTGAAGCTTGGCTTCAGCATCTTTCTTCCTCTTATGGCCACTGTGACCATGTGTGCAGCTGCTGCCCTCAGCCAACCCCTGCCTCAGTGGTGGCTGTGCCTGTGCCAGTGTCCCCTGCTTGTCACTGGCACGTGGCACCACAGGTACCTGTCACAAGGAGCCTCTCTTTTCTCTGCAGCCTCCTCAGAGACAAGCCAGACCCTCTCCTGGCATGGTTTTAAGCCATGGGTTTCTTAACTGCCTGACAGAGCTGGCCAGAAGTTTCTGGAGTGTTCCTATCTTGCTCCTCTGCTCTCAGACTCCTTCCATCTGTTAATGGTCTGTTGGAGTGTTATGGGTCCAAAGTGCCCAAATGACTTCAATTCCTGACTTCCTGTTGAGTGCACAGAATTTGCTTACTTTGTGCTCATTTTGAATAAGATTAACAGTTGATCTCTTGAGCAAACATTCCAATTTAATGTCAGCAGAATGACATAGGCTGCCTGCTCTGCGTGTTCCCAAATAGTTTTACTGCTGTTAGCTACACCTCTGAACGACCAAGATTTTGTTCAGAACCTAAAATACTTAGTTAACCCCTACAGATGTTTAGTAATAAATTTTTAACTCTGAAATAATTTCCTCTTTTTTGTTGTAGGCAGAGTTCTTATTTTTGTGGTTGCATAGTAGGGACTCTTCAGCCTTTTTTCTCAGATCCTGGTAGAATTAATTTTTCTTAAAGAAAGTGCAGAGCAAGGTCTGAATTAGGGCTGAATTGTTTCCTGTGCCTCTGCCTGTGCTGCTGAAACCTCAGGACCCAGCACAGCAGTGGTGGCAGCTTGCCCTGCTCACCTTGGACCAGGTGTGATGTCCCTGTCACAGTTTCCCGCAGACACCCCCGGGCAGGCTGGGGGCTGGAGGCAGGTGTGATTTTCTTACTGATTGTATTCTGTTTAAGAGTACAATCAGACATTTATGGGATAGGTGTGGTTTTGGCACTG